CGAGGTTTAAACTATGATTGTAAAACAGGCCCTTAATGTCTTACGAAATACATTGATGGGTAACCGTATAAATCATATTTCTCCGCCAAAATCATGACATTTGGCAGCAATTAATAAATCTACAATCACAATTTATAAACAATATAACACGGACTAAGATATATATCTTAGTCCGTGATATTATCTATGCTATTTAACAATGTTAATCAATTCGGTCGCTTAGAGAGGACATTTTAGTTGAGTTTTTCGCTGCTATTATTGGGCGCCTCGATCTGAACTTTATTAAGGTTACCTACTGTACAATTATTTACAATTGAAAAGGGGTGTTAATAGAAGTTCCCATCTCCTAAGAACACTCCTTAAGTAGTGTATTTTAAGAATTTAAAAATATGGTTTTATTACAACAGCCWACAGGGCGATTCACCAAGCATGAACTGCATTTTATTTTTCAATATAACAGAATTATTTACAATGTCAACTTTTTTTGAATAACTGCATTATTGAAAAGAAAAAAAAGGCGTGAGCATGCTTGGTGAATCGCCCTGTATACATATAAGAATAAAGAGCCATAAATAGATATTCATTTGTAATTTGTATACATACATGGAAATAGAAATTATATTAATAATTCCTAAATAGTAAATTTATAATATAGTTCTCACCAACATATTTGTTAGTTGTTAGTATAACATCATACTGTTATAATTGCAGATTAGTTTTAAAAATTGTTTCTTTAAGCTTAAATATGCCCAACTTATTTTGTTTTTTTGGTTGCAATAAAAATTCAAAATTATCTGTGTTTAGTTGTCCCAAAAATGATGTACTTAAAGCCCAGTGGGAAACTAATCTTGGCATCAAACTTAAAAATAATTTTTTTATTTGTGGTAAAACCATTTTAATTCTGACGATATTGAGTGAACACAAATTAAGTTTCCCATGTTATACACATGCTACAGGTATTATTTATTTTGTAGTTGTATACGTATGAGAATGAGACAGTTTTCCCAACAAGAAAATTACAAGAATAAAAAATTGAATCGCAATAAAAAAAAAATTCCAAAGTTATATATTCTTCATAGGTAGTACATAACTTATAACTTATGTCTTATACTGTATGTATGTAAAGTGTAAATACTAAAATTATAAAATATATAAAATGGTTAATTATTAAACTAAATAATTATCATCAATTTATTTATTTATTAATTTGTGAACTTACTTATAGGTACTTAATTATTAATTAGTRTCTCGKTAACCAGGCTTTTTTTTCAAAATTTGTCACATTTTCTACAACCTAACACCCTGCATTCATGCCGCTACTCAATTAGGCATAAGCGATGATAAGTTGGTAAATAGTAAAATTCAGAAAGTTGGAAYAGAGGCGCTACCAAAATAGCGGATTAAATAAGTACTAAAATGTCCTCTCTATAAGCGGACACAATGATAAGCAAAGAGTCCAGACCTTACTTTCTAAGACCGTGTCCTACACTAAGTCACGTTGACACGTTGTCCTCAACGTCCAATCCAAATCTTCACTACTTACAGTTTAGTTTACACATGCGCTTCTTCCAGATCACTCTACGACTTCTCTATTACTTATACCATTGATTATAAATGAACTAAAAGTTAAGACTTTTTCAGTATTGTTTATGTAAAAAAAAAATTGATCTAATATTTACATGTAAAGGGCGGTAAAACTCAAGTTTGCCCAGGTGAGTTTAAGCAGTTGAGCCGGGCCTGAATCAATGACCTTTCAAATTTTCTCTATAGCTATTTGAAGCAAAACTTAGTGTTGAATTTTATAACCTTAGATATAAATTATAAATACAAAAATTTTTATGAATTTTCAAATTCAAAATTACTTGCAAATTTTCGCGTTTTCGACAGATTTCATAAAAATTTGAACTATAAACGCTTATAAAAAAAAATTGTGCCTATGTATTCTTATAATTTTTTAATCACTTATAAGAATAACTTATGAGAAACTTTGTTTTAAATTTTCAAGTATTTTTATAGGGCCGCAAAAATTTTATTGACACTTCAAAAAAAATTTTCAGAAAAATTGAAAATTTCAGTTGTCTATAAATATCTCAAAAAAGTCAAAATATTTTAAAAATTAAATCATGTAAAGAAAATGCCAATCTGAATAACTGGTAAAATTTTCAAGTATCTACAACCATTGATTATAAATACTATTATTAATGGTACTATGCTTAAAAAAATATCAATCGGTTTGATGAATTTTTTAGTTGTGTATAGTACTACTCGTATAGTAAGCAGTATTAAATACGTGCACAAAATCACATCTGTATATTTGAATTATTTAACATTAAGTATGAATCCCAACACTGCTCACACCATGACAATTAATCAAAWAGGTATTTAAAAATATGTAATAAATTCTAACAAAAAATACCCTCAGATTGCGCATAAAGAAATTTGTACTATTTCCATAAAGAATGATCTCTTAAATTAAATTAAATGAAGTTAATTAAGACAATTAAATGTATTATCAAGSTAACAGAAAGTGTTTCAATGTATGGCTCCTTTCATAAAAATCTCATGAAGTCATAACCAGTCAACTTTTATATAATATTCTTATTGTGTCAAGTATAATTTATTAATGATAAAATTTTTTTATTTTTTWAAAAATAAAAACATAAAATTTTATTAGTTGGAGGTGTTCAAAAAACAGCTCTAAACGTGTCATCACGACTGGTTTTACCCAGCTAATTATCCGTATCGTACCTTATATCTATGGCTGGGTAAGAAAAACTGTTGGGAGTAAGTTGACACTACAGTATGTAAAGTTGGAATTTAAGTACACAACAACTAAAAATTGTATAATTAAACACACAATAATAATTTGCGTATCGTTAATTACAATCAGCGGTAAAATAAAAAATAATTATCCTACTCAATTGCCTACACCGAACTGGTACACCGCACTGTTCCATCGTCTTTGGAAACATTCAGTCCGTTAATTATCAACGCCGCAATGATAACCACCTGCCCGACAAGGCACATAACTCCAAATGGTTTGTGCATTTTGTATCCACTGATGGCGGCCGCCACGTTGAGTATGACCACGCTGGTAATCATGCATATGCAGTTAAAGAACAAAGTGTCGGTTTGCAGTGTGACGGGTCCACCATTCATCGATGTTGGCAGCGTGCACTTGACGAACCAAGGCAGACCCAAACAAAATAGTATGTCCATCGTGTTAGAGCCCAACGCGCTGCTGATGCTCATGGATCCTTCGCCTGAAAAAAAGTTATTAACTTATTATGATTATATATTTTTATTTACAAAACACAGTTTTTTGTCCTCATTACAAGAGTTTATGGTTTTATGGCTGATTATAATATTATTATATAACACTAGCACACCGGAAGTTAATCTATATACTACGATTACTACGAGTAAAAAAATAAAATAATAATCACAGTAATAAATAAGACTAAACTATACTACTAAATCAAGTAGGTAGAGGTAGTTGAATATTTTCAATTATTCAATGTTCGCGTTGGTTATTTGTGTTGTTGATCACGTGGTGTGCACTCAACACGGTGGTAGTGGGAAATGGATAGTAATGGAATAATACCCGCACCCCATTGGCCATTATATATCATCGTCACATCGTACCTAATAGCATTKTCTATAAACACTAGTATTTATGATCAATAATGTTACCGTCAATGTTACATTTATAATTTCTCAGTTCTTACCGTTTTGTGCGTTTATTATGCCCGAAACGGCTTCAGGGATGCTGCTGCCAACCGCTAAGACCCCTATGCCCATGACAACGTCACTGATATGAAACGTATCACCTGTAGTAGTGTCAAATAATATAAATTCCRAGGAATAAAAACATTATGTTAACACAAATAACTAGGTAATATTATGTACCTATAGATATCTCAAAAGAATTTTTGCACTTCGGTACCAATTTTTTTTTTACCTCCCCTCTCAATTTTAAAAAAGATCTATTTTTAATATATTGATGATATAATAAACTRACTCAAATATGCCAACATAAAAAAATACCACTCACTAACGGGTTTTTTGTATTTAAATTAATCATTGAGTCAAGTGATATTTTTGAGTAAGCATTTAATATTGTAATATTTTAAATTTCATAAAATTTGAAATTTGAAATTTGATAAACATATTATGTGTGTGTGTGTGTGTATAACCACCGATGTATAATAGACATAGCAGCTTATGTGCAACACGTTTACACTTTACACATAAAGGCGTTTTACTTATATACTTACCGCATATCGTTAGGAACCACGACAAAATGTATGTGATAACACTGACCCATATGATGGACATGACAAACGTGATAGGGAACAGTGATCGTTGTGTCCGGCAATCCGGTATCGTGGCCCACAATGTAAAGTTAACCGGAGAGCAGAACGTTCGCCAGACGATCAGCAACATCTTGACCCCGAACGATTTCGATGTAGGTAAACAAGCTGCATAAAACGGTTTAATTTTAGACTGAAAAATTAAAATTACTTTATAGCAATAAATTTATAAATGTATATAATATGTATGATCGCACATATACCACCATATAGTATTATGTGGTATTGTGGTCACGTATGTTTTTAACCCACTTTGTTCATCGACACCCGATTGATCGCGTTCGCTGAAAGTTGTCGCAGTCGAAGTAAATGCTATTTTYGACGACGCCCACTCGCCTTCTTGCAGCTGGTGTTCAGCTATATTTAATAGAATAAGTTAAACAAACAATATTCATATCGATAAAAKGCAAACTTTTAAGTGTTCTAGGGTGGAAACTGGCAAGATAACATAGAAGTGCCTAAAAATGAATAATTCATTATTGATATCACATATATGCGAAGCTGACACGATTTCGATTCAGTGCTCTGCTGTTGCACTGTCTGCCACAATGATGCTAGCTATTGGGAAATCGGAAAATATACCTAATTAATTCTCTGTGTTAACAACCAACCTGTTCCGTATCGACGTATCTGTACATCACTTCTGTGAAGTGTGATATTTTGAGACTCGATCGGAGCGTACTTCCAGCATAATATCAATCGTTTGATACGCTCGAAAACTGGTATCCCTGCAAATCGTATAAAAACGTTTAAATATAATAACATGTACTATTAATCGTTAACACAATGATAGTTTCACACATTATTTTCTGGACCTATAAAAATTCAAAAATATATCGTCTCGTCTACTAGTATCTGCCACAACTTCACGCGTTTAGGTATTTTCAAATAACCGTTAAATCGATAAAAAWTTTCTATTATGGTCCATTATCGGCAATTAAAACACACCCAATTGACGACATTATACTACAACTTCTATGAAACTAAATAAACTTGTAGTGAAACCTCTAAATGCCGGACTACACTCTCGGTCGCTTAAATGTCGTCCCCTATTTGGAGGTGTTCGCTATTAAGAAGGGAAATACAGTGAGTACACATTTCAACGTTCCCAAAATTCCGTTCGTTATTTGGAGGTGTCCGTTAAAAGAGGTTTCACTGTATTTGTGATGCCTGCAGATCTTACGATTGTTGTGTTTCCACTTTTCGACAGCTTCGACGAGCTTGTATTGCGTGAACAAGAAGACAAAGTATCCAAAAAACATGGTGACCATGATCAACGCTTCGTACCACACGATTACGCTGTCCACGGCGATTGCGGCCAGCACGGCTATGGACGTAGCGTACACAGCGCTGTCCCGGATCAGCGGCCACTTTTCAACCACGATTGGACGGCCGCAGACTGCCAGACCCGCGCAAGCCGACACACCCAGCGTGTTGTACACACCGCTGCCCACCACCGTGCCCACTCCAAGGTCGGACTTGGTCACGAAAGTTCCGATCACGGAGACGAGAAGCTCGGAAGTACAAGTTGCTGCCGCCATGAACGTCGCCCCGGCAACGTCCGGCGAGATCCCCAGATCTGAAAACCATAATATTATGTACGATATTATGCGACGCCGTCGTGGACATTATAATATGTCGTATATGTTAGTGCACGATAATCCAGGTTGGCGAATTTACAATTTTTCACGTCAGAAGTAGTCGAGGGCATTCAAATCAATATCTTAATATATTTTAAGGYGAGCAAATATTTAAAACTAAAAATGAAAGAAGTATATGAGTTTAGGACGCTTGAATTCAAAGACTTAGAGAAAGACCACCTAGCCCCACTGGATTCATGTGATCTGCTCATGTAAATATAAGGACGCCACCGCTGCTCAAAATATTTTGGTCTTGATGTAATAATCTACGCTAATTGTAATGGAAGTGAATATCTTTAAAGAAAATAATGCATACGACAATCTCATTGCGATATTAAATAATGTTTAATTCATTCTCTATAACAAACTTAATTTACCTAAACGAAACCTAGTAGAAAAAAACAGTGACAGACGAATTACCTCTACTAGTGTATGGATTTTTGTAATTTATTGGTGAATGAACTATCGACAGTAGTGTAGCGAAATTGCCTATCCACAACGCCGTGTTATGATATTGTCATAATATTGGCATACGTTGAGGTACTTATTGGATATTGACATATTGTATAAATAATAATGATAGCATCGGCATTGTGAGGGGATAAATCCTTCATAAGTCTATGTACTATTATTTACCTCCATGGCCCATATTGTGAATAAAAACTCAATCAAAACTAAAAACTAACAATTCAGTTCCATATCCTGTTTGTTTTGTCGGCTTAATATTTAATCATACTATAATTAGCTCAATATTATATTGAAGCACTTAAAAAATCAAATTAAAACGTACGTCATACCTAAACATATGTATAATACTGATGGTAGAAAATAGTCCTGGCAAACAAATGTTATAAATAAGAATCCATAAAAAACAAGGATCAAGTGAATGATAACGGCTCCGTGACGTCTTTGTTCTTCGGTAAAGAAATCTTTAGGGAATTCGTCGATTGAACGATGAATATTTTCACACGTAACCAGTGTACTGTTATTAAAATTGTCTATAGAAAAATGTTTTCCTGAAAAATAATAATGATGAATCAATGCATAATAAATATAGATGTTACCATCAAAACCAGATCACTAAGTAAATCTAAGTTAATTGGTTAATATTAGGATTTACTAATCATAAGATAATATACATCTATCTATTAGTATAATCAGAAAAACGTAATTTATTTTATTTAGTTGTTATTTTATTCAACTTGGAGGTATTTACAAATTATGAAAGTTAATGAAATTTAACAAAGTTAAGAATTCACAAACTTTTATTCTCTGTTAAAAATGTTATGAGTCGACACTATAGCTTTCTTACCCTAAATCCTTTATTAATATAAATTAAATTATAATCGATATCTTATTGTGTTATCACTATTATTCATTATTATTCACATACATGATGTTACCTCTATAACTAATCTAGAATCTAGATAGTGTTTTATTATTTTTTTCCTTCTTAGCAAACATATATAATTTTTTCATATTTAACTAGTAATTATTATTACTATTATGCATATAATAGCTTTTAAATAAACTCCCTATTATTTTATTGATTATACTGTACTGATAAATTTATTACTTTTAAATAGTAATCATTATTATTTTAATTTTTTTTTTTTTATTAAAATAAATATACTCAGCGACATAGGCCATTGGGTTATATTTTAATTTTTAATATCGTAAGTTAGGCATAATATTTTATTTTTTATTTTTATTTTTATATACATAGTTTAAATAAATATTCATTATTTCAATTTATAAGATATGATTATACTTTTCAAACAAAATAAATATACTTCAACAAACTAAAATATAAATTAATAACTCAGTTTTTAGTTTTTAATTATCAAATATTTAAAAACTATATTAATCTTTTAATCTTCTGTTATGGATTTATCATATTTTATTGTCACGATTTTTACACTCTAAGGAGTAAAAAATGTTACTAAAATCATGAATAATATTATTATTTTCAGAATTTACTGAATAAAAATATCTAATGTTAATGCTTAGTATTAAATATATATATATAAATATAGCACCAAAATATATACTTACGCATGACAATTTTCATAAGTGATTTTAGTAGGTAGGAGGGTTACCTTTGTCATTCTAAATATATTATGATAATTATTGTATTAGGCATTACAGTTAGTTGTGAACTAAAATTCGATAATATTGCATAAAAACTATACTTGGTGTGTACTGTGTAGTAAGGTAATTATAAGAAGTAGATGAGTGTCAAAATTGTATGTGGAGGTGTCTGATGTCATAGGTACAATTTTGGACTTTGGTGCCACTGAATATAGTATACCTAACTTTTATTTAAATTTGTTAGCAATATATTTATATACGTGTCTTCCCACGTCGCCGAAACCCAATTTGCCGACACCCAATTTGCCAACACCCCAGTTCGCCGAYTCTCAATTCGCCGACACCCCATTTCGCCGACTATTTTTTACATGTTCCCAATTTGTCGATTCCCAATTCRCCGAGTATAAATATCATATAAAAAAATAAACATTATATTATTATACTAGGTATATGATAAAAGTCATCATAAATTAAAGTTCTTGTAAATAAAAAAAATACATTATATTATTATACT